CCTGGCCGGGGAAGGAGCCCCCTGCACCCACTCCCACCTCCCTTGTGTCCTCCGAGCTGGCCTGGCCTCATCTGCCGTGGGGATTGCAAGGGACAGCCCATGTGGGGTCAGCAGGAGCCTCTGACTATGGCACAGCATTCTGGGCACAGCCGTGGGTCCAGCGCCAGTGGGCTCTGCTGGGTCGGCTCCTTCCCCATGTCCTGCAGCCTCGGTGCTGGCGCTTGACCAGCTGCAGGTGTCTGGGGGGGAGGAGGGGAGGAGGCCAGGCCATGGCCTCAGCTGTGGCAGATGCTCAGGGTGGCTTCCCTGGAGGACTGCCCTGTTGGCTTCCGTGGGGAGCCCTGGGCATGGGGCCCTCCCGCCTCTGAACTTCCTGCCACAGAAATTGCAGGTAGGTCCCCAGTTCAGGACCCCAGTTCAAGGCCTACCCTCTGTCTGTGAAGCTGTGAGTCCCCACCCCCCTTCACCCTAAATAAACTTCACTCCCTGCCAGCGGGAGAGGAGCCTGGGTCTCTGGTGAGCTTGGGGACCTGCACGCCCTGGACAGGTGGGGGTGGTGATTTTTCAGGGGAGCCCTGGGGCCAGCAGAGCTTTGGTTTCTCAACAGGTGACCCCTGCAGAGGGTGTGATGGGCCGAGCCTGGCCCTGCCCTTGAGCAGGGACCTGCCCTCTATGAGCCTCGGTTTTCTCATCCCTAAAGTGGGCGAACTCAACTGCCGACAGCAGGCACCTGCGGCACGGGGCACAGCCAGGTTTTGCCGATGCTGTTGACCATCTATCCAGGGCCACCAGCCCAGCCAGGGTCCGCCTGCGGGGAGCCAGTCCGCCCTCAGCTGCACACAATGCGAGCGATTTCGGCAATTTCTCCCCGAGTGCTCGTTTCCCCTAATAATCCACGTTTCATCTCCACAATAAACACTGTGAGGACGCTTCTCTTGGCTTTAAATACGCATAATTGCTTCTGGTGCCAGTAAAAGGTATTAATTCCACTTATGCATTCCATAAACTTTTAGGATAACGCAATTGATACCGCGGTCGTGTTGGGACACCTCCACAATTATTTTCCTGCCCGCGAACCTCCAAGGGCCTGGAAAGTTTCCTCCTGAATCCATTAGCGTTGACTCAGCTGCCTTCCACGCAGGAATCCCGGGCAGCCCGTGTTCCCGCCGCCTTGCATGTGCCCCTCCTGGGGGGGGCTGCCCCAGGATGGACACACACACACAGACACCCCCCGGATCCGGGGCAGCTGGAGGCAAGGCGGGGGCTGTGCCATCATATTGTGCAAAACCTCCCCATGTGCCCATGGCTGCCTGCCCCTGCAGGCTGTTGGGGAGGCCACGGGTCTCCCGGAGGTGCCCCCAAGGCTGGGCTGGGGCTCCAACCACACCAAACCCTCCTGCCTGACCTCAGAGCCCCGTCCCCTAGCCTCCTAAACATCGGGCACAGCCCTGGGAGCAGGAAGAGGCTGAGCTGGGCTGGGCGGCATCCAGACGCCCCTCTCACGGCCCTGCCCCTCCTCCCTGCTCCTCGGGACTCCTGTCACCGGCTGTCCCCATCACTGCCAACCCATGGGGAGTCCCGGGAGGGTGTGGAACAGGGCCAAAGACATCTGGTTCTACCGTCCACCGGTCCAAGAAACATCAGTGCCTGAGGGCTTCGAGAGAAACTGCAACCTTTCACAGGGTCTGTCTCCCCTAAGCGCAGATGGGCCCCCAAACAGATAAGCCTGAGCTTGGGGTGGCTCACAGCAGGGTGCTCCACCCCCTCCCACTCCGCAGCCACCTCGACGGCCACGCTCTGACCTGGCCCTGGCCCTGGTCCCTTCTCCGGCTGCTGTTGCCTGAGACCCACCTCCTCCTGACCTCTGTGGGGGTGGGCTTGTCAGAACCGTGGGCAGTGAGAGGCCTGCATGCGTGTACATGTGTGTCTGCATGTAAGCATGTGTGTGAGTGTGTATATTTGCATGTGTGCAACTCTGTGTGGTGTTTGCATGTGAGCGTGTGTGTGTGTGTGTGTCTACAAGTGAGCACGTGTGAGTGTGTATGTCTGCATGTGCATGCATGTGTGCGGTATTTGCATGTGTGTACAAACATATATACCTGTGAGCGGAGAGCTCCAGGCCCCCCGTGCCCAAGGAACACAGGCGTGACACGTGAAGTCCAAAGGAAGCTGCTCGGGCAGCTGCACCTCCTGGCGAGGCCCCCGCACGGGCCCAGGCCGGGCAGAGGCCAAAGACCTCGTTCACAGCTGTGGCCACCTGGGGCCCGGCGGGGTGTCTCCCTGAGTGGGAATGGAGTGAAGGCAGCAGTCAGTCTGGAACTGACTTGAGAAAAATATGAATTATCATTCAGTTACCAGCCGGCCTGCGTCGTGAGGAGCCCGGGCAGCAAGTCCGGGCAGCGACGGCGCAGTCAGACCCCGAGCTGTGAGCGGGGCTGGCAGTCCTGTCCTGCGCCTGAGCCTACCACCCCTCCCCGGGCCGGGGAAGGAGCCTGCGGGGGCCTGCTCCCCGGGAGCCGAGGTGCCAAGAATCTCATTATCGATGTTTGTCCCACCCCCCCGCATTGATGAGGGCTGGGGGGCACTGTGGGCCCTGGTGGCAGCAGCATCCTCCTCAGCTCAGCTGCTCAGGCCAAGAGCCTCCGAGGGCCCAGGCGGGGAGGGGTGGCCAGGGACAACCGTGCTTGGGAGTCGGGGGCTGGGGGGCTGCTGCATGGGGACAGAGCGATGGGCACAGGTGGGCCTTCCCCTGCCCCTTGGTGTGGCTGCCCGGGGCTGCCTCCGTTCTGGGAAGACCACCCCATGAGGACACGTATGGCCAAGAGAACTGTCACCAAGCCACAAGCCCCACCTGCCCCGTGGCCACTCACCTGGCGGCGGTGGTGGAGAGGCAACCAGGAGGGTGGCAGAGGCCCAGGCGGGGAAGCGGCCAGCAGAGAGGCAGCTCCTGCCCCGAGACCAGCTCAGACCATCGAGGCCCTCGAGCCCCCCAGACATTGCAGAGAACCTGCCAGCACCCTCAAGCGGTGGGCAGGAAGGGAGCCAGGACCCCTACAGGGCCGGCCGGGACGCCCGGGGGACCAGTCACTCAGGCCCTGACGGCAGAATTCAGTGCGGGACAGACCCAGACCCTTCCCCTTAGAGTAGAGAGACAGGGCTTAGGGAGCAAGTCTGAATGTGGAATTGGAGAAGTAGTGAGCCTCTGGTCACCAGAGGTATGCAAGTGTGGGGATGCCATGGAGGCCTCCTGACCTGGCTACCGGTCACCAGGCCAGACCTCAGAGTTGGGGTGTGAGGACCAGGACCCCACAGACAATAGAGAACAGAGACGACCCCCCATGAGGACCAGGCTCCCTGGCACCCCATCACCACCAGGCACAAAGAGGAAATAATCATAAAGGCGTCTCGCTGCCTCTGTCCGCACTGAGCCCCAAGCTGTGCAGCACGGGCATCGTCTCCTTTAAGCCTTGTCACCACTCTCAGCAAGGAGCGTTGCTGAAATAATTTACAAACGAGAAAACCGGGCGCTGACTGGACCACGGTGGGCCCTGCCCCTCGCAGCCCATGGAGGCCCTGGAGTCGGGCTGAGCCTCGACTCGGCGAAAGGCCACCACCTGGGGAGGCCACACCCCGAGCAGGGACCAGAAACAGCCCCAGGGGGACCACGGTCTGGAGCCCAGAGCCTGGACTGGCCCCCTGCAGGGCCTGACCCAGGGCGCCTGTGGCTCCGCCCCGCCTCCTCCATCTCCCCACCCCCGGAGCGTGGGAAAACCACAGCCTCAGCCGCCAGGGCCGTGGGTTCTTAAGTGGTAGAGCATCGGGGCCACCCGCTCGCTGCTCCTGTGGGGGCGGGACACAGACACCCTGCATGGACTTTCTGATCCAGGGTCCCACTTCCAGGTGTGGGTAAGCACAGGCTGCTCCCTGGGGAGGTGGCACAGCCTCGTGGGACTGCCAGGTGTCCACAGGATGGGGGCCAGGGCAGGGCTCACTCTCCTCCTTTTGGGGGTGGGCAAGAGACCCGGGGGGCCTTGGGGCTGCCTTTCTCACCAATACCCTGGGCGCCCTGCCCTTGGAGGTGAACCTGAGGTCTGTCTGGAGGTCTTGGCATCCCTGCAGCCTTCGCCTGCCAGTGGGCATGGCCGGGAGCCCCTTCCTCTCCCGGCTGCAACGTGGACAGGGCGGCTCTGTGTTCAGGAGCTCAGAGCCCGGAGCCCAGCCCCTGGCTTTCCATGCCCGCACCCCGACCTACCACCTGCACAACTCTGAGCAAACCGCGTTCCCTCCCCGTGACTCGGTTTTGTGGCTGTAAATGGGACAGTGATAGAGTCCACCTCGTGGGTTGCTGGGTGGTTTCAAGAGCTCATGCGAACTCAAGGCCAGGCAATCGGAGGTCGCAGGTGTCAGGACCTTATCCATGTTGGCACAGTGCCCTCGAGTCCACAGGCCTGTGGTTCTCCCGAACTTCCCCGTCTCACGCCCGTGCTTGGCGACAGCAACCCAGAAACCACGTGTGACGGCAAAGCCCACGTCTGCCAACCACCAGATGCTCGGTGCGGACCTCACGCTGCCCGGAGGAGGGGGCCTCTGGGGACCCGGCCTCAGGTGGCTCCCGGCAGCAGAGCCGCACGCCCCCAGCGCACCCAGGAGAGGATTCAAACCGGAGCCCCCACCTGAGCCTGCCCGACAGTCTTGGCGAGACGCTCAGCCGCTGCCCCGTGGATCTCGCCCGGGAGCCACATCCATCCCCTCCGCAGCCCTGCGGGAAGCTGGCCAGCTCTGACCACATGCCCAAGGGGTGGGCACACCCAGACTGCCCAGCCCCGAGACACGCCTCCTGCCCGACGCTCCTCCCGGTGGGGAGGCACTGGCCGGGCGGGAACCCTGCGTGGACAGCCGGACAGGACAGCCAGGCAGCCGGGCACGCTCGGCTACCCTCTCGCCCAGGACGTGCCGCCCCGCCGCCCGCCCGCGCCCTCCGATGCCGCAGCAGGACTCACCGTCCAGGTGGCCGACTTGGCGGTGCTGGACTGCTGGAAGGTGACGTCGAAGTGGTGGGGGCCGGGGTAGTCGGTGTTGGAGGGGATGATGGGCGCCGGGGACATGGTGTCGAAGGTGGAGCTGGGCTGCGCGTAGGGCGAGTGGGTGGGCACGCTGGCCGCGTGCTCCGGGGTGTAGGGGCTGGCGGCGGCCGCCCGGCTGCTCAGCTGGTCCATGGTGCTGCTCAGCAGATTGAACTGGGCCTGGCGGGAAGCGGGAGGAGGGAGGGGGACCCGCAGTCAGGCTGAGCCCGAGCACCCAGTCCCGTCAGCGAGGTGTCCTGTTACAGCCGCCTTAAAGGGCCAGCCCCGCGTCATCCCAAATATTTCCCCGGTCCCCCCCACCCGACAGGTCACTACTTGTGTGGGGATAAACTGACATATTCACCTCGCCCTCCCCTCCATCAGCCTCCGGGTGCCAGGGTTCCCAGGCTCCCAGAGAGCACACCTGGAGGCAGCGGCCTGTGGGGGTGGCCCCAGCCCAGGACACCCTCTCGGGCTCCAGCTGGACTCTCCAGGGGCAGCACCAGCCCTGATGTCCCCCCTCCTCCACCCCCCGTTACAGCTCACACGGGGAGACCCCAGTCCCCAGGAAGCAGGCCGTGGGAGCCATGGGGTTGGGGCAGAGGGCACCCCCACCACACAGAGTAGACACACCCTGGGCTCTGGTGCAGGGGATGCCTAAGAGGCCCTGGAGGCCAGGTCTGACCCCTAGATCTGGCCACGTAGGTGCTAGGGTTGGGATGGCGGCTGAAGGTCAGTGGCTGAACCAGAAGCCACTCTCCAAGGGCCTCTGTAGGGTGGGCTGCCTCCTTCTGGGTCAGAAGGGACCCCGTAGCCGTTTCTGCTGCTAGCAGGGTTCCTCGTGGTCCACACCTTGTGTCCACCCTGGGCACTGGCGCCCAGCTCCTCCCCCAGGCCTCACACTGAAGGAGCAGGACCTCTGAGCTTCCCTATGTGGGTGTGTCCCCTGGGTCACCCTCTGTGGCATCTGGGGACCAGGGATGGATCAGCCCCCACCAGGAGCTTAAGGGGGGCCCCGTCTCAGATCCCCCTGGAGGGCCTTCAAGGAAGAACCCTCCCCGGTCTGCAGGCTCCGAGCAGGGGCAGGTCTGGAGGGGAACACGGGTGGCCTCTAACTGCAAACGGGAAACGGCTCCCTGTCCGCTCCTGGACGGCTCCCCGGCCCGAGTGGACCGTCCCTTTAGGCCTAGGTGGGCACTGTCAGTGTCTCCGTTTTACACACGAGGAAGCTGAGGTACGGAGCGGCAGTGACTTGCCTGGATTGATGCAGTGGCCCTGGTGGCCGACACGGGAGACCAGCCCGCCCTCTGTGGGTAAGGGAGCCCGAGCCTCGGGGGCCAGTGGAGATGGTGAGATGGGGGGTTATTGTCTGGTGGGCACAGGGCCTGGGGTTCCCATGGCAGGGCAGAGGCAGACCAGGCAGCAAGAGCAGGGGCACCTTTGCCCCGCACCCCTCTGCAGAGAGGGTGGCAGCCTCCCTGCCCCCTCCAAATGCAGAAACAGAAGCGTGGTTCCCGGGTGTCTCCCAGGCCCGGCCCAGCCCTCTCTGCCCCCCAGTCTTTTTCTCCACCGAAGGTGGCCTGGGCTGCAGAACCTGAGCTCCTCCAGCTCGGTACCCCCGAGGGCACACATCACCCCGTGTCCATGACAAGGGTCCTCAGAGCCTCCAGACCCCTCCTGGCCTGGGGAGGGAAACTGCAGTAGGGAAATGCTGTCCTGAAGGCTCTGAAGGAGTCTCAGGAGATGACAGAGGAGAGGGAGGTGACAGGTGACAGGTTCTTGCCAACGCCACTGCCCCGTGCCACCTGGAGGCCAGGCAGCTGCTTTCCGCAGATGGCCCAGCTCCCGGGATGGCAAACCGCCACCCAGAACAGATCTTGGCCTGGCGCCTTAAACAGGGGACCCCTCCCACAGTGGGATGGGGGACCCCTGCAGGACCCACCTCCCTCCTCGGTTTGACGGGCCCCCCACAGCCTCCTAACCTCCTGGGCCTCCACCTGTGAAACAGGGAGACCCCACACCCACCGACAGGCGAATGGACAACGGGCCACGGCAGCGTTCAGTGGAATATTCCTTCTTAGCCACGAAAACAAATGAATGGGTGACATGTGCCAGAGCCTGGAGGAGACGCAAACCTGCCAAGTGACGGGAGCCAGATCCTCACCCAGGAACTGCGTGCTTCCCGGGGTCTGCGGGGCGGGTCCGCAGAGACAGACCCAGATGCCGGCTGCCAGGGGCTGGCCCTGCTGGGCCTGGTGGCCACGGGGTGTGGGGTTTCCTTTGTGGGTGCAGCAGTGATGGGCACACAGATCCGTGGACAAACTAAACACGCTGAGTGGTGCCCTTGAAACAGGCGACCTGTGTGTTACGTAAACTACAGCTCAGTGAAGCTACTGGACGCAGGCAGAGGGGCGTCCTCACCTCTCGCAGCCCGGCCGCCACGAGGGGGGGCCACGGCGCCCCCAGAGGGTGCAGGCTGGGCCCCAGGAGCTCTCGCATGCACTCCAAGGGGGAGTGGGAGCTTCCAAGAGCCTGTGGCTTCTGTCTGCCCCGCTGGACTGCGGGCCCCACAGGGACAGGTGCTGTCACTGAACTGCCCACGCAGCAGCCACTGGCCACGGGCACAGTAAACGAGGCCAGTGTGACTTGAGCTGTGCCACGGGCATGAGGGCGCCCCGATGCCAAGGCCTCGGTGCCGTGGAGAGAAGGTAAAGTAAAACCTCTCCTTCGCCATGTCGTATTGATTATACCGGCTCGAGCCCAGTTCGGGACAAATTATGTAAATTATTTCCACCTGCTTCTTTTACCCTTTTTAAAATGTGGCTGCTAGAAAAATGCAAAGTTACACATGCGCCTCTGGTTCCACTTCCACTGACGGCCTAGTCTGGCTCCCAGTCCGCGTCCGCAGGCCCGCGTGGACACGGCGCTTACCCCGTTACTGCTGCGAACACTGTCCCGTGGGACACAGTTCACGTGTCATTGCACAGCACTACTGGGGGGTCTGCTGGACAAGCAGACGGGCCAACGAAGGAAGGAAGGAGGTGTCACAGCACAGGGACAGCTCCTCCCAGTAAGAAGGACCAGGACTGAGGACCAGGGGCAAGCTGGCCCCTCCCCTCCCCCTTGCAAGAGGCTGAGAGCCCGGTAGGTCCTGGGGTGGGAAAGGTGTGGGCCCCAGATGGTCCCACCCCTGGGGTCTCCACGGTCTCCCCTCTCTCCGGGGGGCAGCCTAGGCCCTGCTGGGCGGGGCCCCGGGCTCCCTGAGAGCTTCGGCCCCAGACGCATCCCCAAGTGGGGACAGCCCAGCCGGGGGCTCCGGGTCTGTCCTCCTGCCCCTGCCGCCCTGCTCAGGAGAAACGGGAGGCAGCCCCACGACAACACCGTTCAGATTTTAACTTGTTCACATTCTTTACCCATCTGAGCCGGGTGCCAGGGAATTAGTCACTGAAGCTGAGGGCTGCTGATAGGATCTCTACGCCCAGCAGCCCCAAAGCGGGAGGGAGCGAGGCTTTCAGCAGCCAGGCCCGGCGAGGCGGGCAGAACCCGCTCTGCACAGCACGCTCGGACCCCCAGCCCCGGGTCCCCCCCAGCCTCCCCTGCAGGCCTCCCCTCGCTGGCCCCCCGACAGGGCAGGCTCAGCATCCTGTGGTCCAGTTCCCAGGAGGCTCACCCTCCTCCCCAGGAGAACCGGGCGATAGTGTCCTGCAGAGCACCGTCCAGGTGGACACTGCCCCCTCTGTGGGTCCCGCCTCCCCAGGGACCCTTCCGCCCGCATCGCTTTCTAGTCCTGTTTGCTCTGAGTGGCTGGGGCTCTGAGTGCAGTGAGGACCCCACAGATTAGGAGGTGTGGAGACTGCGTGGCCCCACTGCCTGCAGGAAGCTCCATGCATTTCCTTCTTAGAAGCTGGGGGGCTCTGCCAGAGTAGCCCTGTCAGAGACCAAGGCCTGGACCTGGGCGCACAGGAGCCTGGGGCGGGGTGGGGGGCTCCTGCAGAACCACAGGCCCCAGAAGCCCAGGCGATGCCCACTTGGCAGCAGGCAGGAACCTGGGCAAAACCTGGACTTTTTTGGTGTGTTTTGTTTTCATTAAGAACTCCAAGAGAGTGGGCTGATTGGGACACGCCCGGCCCGCGGCGCCCACATGTGCCTACATGTGTGCACGCAGGGCTCCGGGCCGACCCAGGCAGGGCTGAGAGAGAGCAAGCAAGGAAGCCGGCGGGGGGCCTCCCCTCCAGGGATCAGGCAGAGGGTGTGCACCAGGCCTGCCTCTGAGCCCGACGGCTGGTGGGCAGGGGCTCTAGGAGGAGCCTGGCTGGGCAGACCCTTGCTACGTCTTGCAGAGCTGCCAATGCCCCAAAGCCTCCTCACCAGGACCATGCAGGCGGCTCCAACAAGCCATCTCATCTGTCTGCTCCAGAAGCCCGTATCCTGGTGCTCTCTGCCTGCTGGGTGGGGCAGAGTGGGCAGGCCTGCCCTCCGAGTGGGCACCCAGGCCTGTGCCCATCAGTGCTTCTTGACTGAATCGCCGGGTGGCCTGTTTCTGCTCCGCGCCAGCCAAGGGCACTCACAGGCCATCCCCCGGGGCCACATGCATGCATGTGCTCACACACACGGCAGAACACGCAGGGATGGGGCCAGTAGTCTGCGGGGGGTGGGGG